ACTTGATGGACAAGATGACTTGTAGAAAAAAAATTCTAAGACAAAATGAATTTTTAATAGGCAAGTTTGACCTGTAGAAAAAGAATTCTAAGAGGAAAGGGATTTTTAATATGTAAGTTTGTATGCTTATAAATAGGTTAAATTCTTATAGGATTAAGTATGAGAAAAAGATGTAAGAGAGTTGTAAGGTTTTATGAGATAGATATTTTCATAAGACTACTGGATATTTACGTCTTATGAGTGTGTATATTTGAATGTTATGAGTGGACTAGAGGAGACTCAGAGGGTCTATATAGGTATAGTGCATGTGAGTGGACTAGAAGAGATTGAGAGAATCCACATAGGTATGATGAATGAGTACATATGGGTATATATTTATTTGTGTTGAAAGGATGTACATGGGTATGTATTTGTTTGGGTTAAGAATCCTCCATAGGATTAGAGGAGATCGAGAGAGTTTATGTGTATTAATTGTGAGTACTTGTTATGGATGTATGTTTGTAATTTTCTATAACTAATGGATCATTTTTTCCATCCGTAGACGTAGGTCAATTGAACCAAACTATGTTAAATTGTTATCTCTTGTGTGATTGATTGATTATTTGATTTTTTTTCTGTTAGTATAATTGGATTAAGATGTTTTTGCCTAATACAAAGGACTGTTTCAATCCACCGCCATCTAAGAACAACACCATATCTAGCCTTTCCATGTTTTCCTTCTGGTAATCCATCAACCTTAAACAACAATTCATTCCCAGTTTCATTATATCCTTTTTTTTTTTTTAATTTGACATTAAAAATATTCAACCCAACTTTGTTTCTGCAAGATAAAGACGGATGTATGTGAACTAGAAGTTCGATTACATGTTCCCAAGCACTGAAGTTTTCTTCTGACAAAAATTTCTTCTTTTCTTCCCATTTACTAGATTATCTCATCATTGTTAAGTAACGAGTCTGTTCTTTGGATTTTAATTCAAGAGCTAATTAAGCAAATGTATTGCAGATGAGCAGAAAGGACTACTGCAAGACATTAGGGTTGTACTCGGTAGCGGCGAAATATTGAGGGGAAGAGACATTTTGATGAGCACAGTTCAAGTGAAGAAGATTTAAAAACAAAGGTTATATTAGTTTTTTTTTTTTTTCAACATCTCCTTTAATCTCTTAGGCCTAGATGTCATATTAGTTACTTTAATCCATCTTAGAGAGTATGTGCAGCTTCTTTTGTTTGAAAGGTAGTAACTAAGAGTCGTAGAAACAAAGTTAACTCAAAGAAACGTGATTTTACTGTTTCTTTGTAATTAGAATTGCAGGATAACAACTCTTTTATTTTATTATATTTTTTTTAATATTTAAATAAATACATAATTATATTTTACTCCCGAAATGGTTTATGTTTTCTCATGGTATAGATACGATAGCATTGATAATGAAAAAAAAAGGAGAAAAAATTTCTTTTAATTGATGTCTTTATGTGTTTATTTATTATTGATTATAGTATTTATTAATTTTTATTTATAAATTATAATTCTATGAGACTGACTATAATTTACAAAAAAAAATATGTATGGCAAGCTATTCATTAATCTATAAAATTAACTATGACTGTGATGATTATTGTTATGATAATATATTACTCCAGTAAAACAAAAATAATACAAGCCCACGGAATAGTGCGGGCAACCCTCTAGTATTCTATAAAAACTAATCCAACAACTAAAGGGGAAATATATCACATACAAAATTATTGAAATACAATAAAATGGATAATCTGACAATTCAGTGGTGGCCATAAATGAATGTTGATCTATCTGCCTCCCATATGGAGTGTCATACACTAAGCATGCACAACAACCAAAAAGCCACAAAAAAATGGATTAATGAGGACTTAGAGATAGTACGAGTAAATGTAACATAAACGATTTTAAGTGGGGGGGCTGAGGAAAAGTAAAACGGATCCTTACAATTTTTTAAAGCTTTCCATATTTGCAAGTGGCCTTTTGTTCCCAATAAAAGTGCAAGAAAATCTAATTTTTGGTAGGATTCCACACGATTAAAGGTTTTGATTACTTGTTTTTTCAATTAAATACTTAAAATTTTATAAGTATTTATTGTTAAAAGCTTTTAAAATTTATTCATTTTTAAATTGATATCATATTATTAATTGATAACTAATTAAGTGATATCATATTGATAATTGATAATTTAAGTACTTAAAATTTTATAATATTTATTGTTAAAAGCTCTGATAATTTTAAATTTATTCAATGTGAGATCATTTTTTAAAAGTGGTATCCTATTATTAATTAAAAATAGGATTGTGTTGATTAGTGGCTTGATAAATCCAAGCCGCAATTTTGGACTTATGCCGAGTAATTAGAAGAAAGGAAGAAGATGTAAGAAAAGGCAAGTTGCACCGGAAGGAAAGCTTGGGCTTTGGCTAGCTTGCACCAAACAGATTGAACATTTTGGAAAGGAAGACCAATTAGAACAACACTGGTTCTATATAACCATGTGGTGGTGAAGCAAGAGTAGAGCAGAGAATGGCAACGGATAGTTGATATAAAAAAATATTTTTTTTATTATTTGAATTCAAATGATTAAATTTGACGTAAATAATTTTATTTGAATTGGCTTAAAAAAATTTATTAGACATAGTCTAAAACTTCTTTTTTACTAAATAAAAAAAAAAATGGAGCTTGCAGCGAAAAAAAAAAAGGAGAATCAGTGAGTTGAAATAAAAGAAGTCACTGCAAAGTTTTAGTTAGAGAGCCGAATTTCAAATTTCGAGTGTTCCTATGTAAATTTCCTTATTTTTATAATTTTTTTAAATTTATCTTACCCATGTACGTAGTTTTTAAGCATGAATACATACACCTTGAGTGCATTATTTTTTCTTGTTGCTATTTTATTTTCACTTATCAAATAATTTATTTTGGTTGTAAATCTAGATTAAATTTCACAAAATATTGGTATCAAACTTCTGCTTTTCGCAACAAACTAGAATCGAACTGCCGGTGAAACTGATAATCGGGGACATAGGTGATTTTCCGATCAGATTTTTTAATCATTCCTTATATACATGATACTAATGTTCCCCAATCAAAAAAAAAAAACCTATAAAACATGATATATACTAATTTAGCATGTAAGAGTTAGTGAACATTTTTCAATTATAGAAAAAAAAAAGTGATAAGTTCTGTAATGCTGCTGGGCGTTGTGTGCGTGTGTTTTCATTAGAAAAATGTTAATTATTAGGCTGATTAAGGTAATATGTTATAAAAATTACTATAATTATTGTATTGTGTTTTCTTGAATTTGACATATTTTTATATTATATTGATCTCTATTATTTATAATTCAATTATTTTGGCCCAGAGTGAAAGTGTTCATCACTTGAAGATGGATGTGGACAAATGAAAACATAAATTGCGACTTTTTAAGTAGCATTTAAGAAAGGGACCTTCATGTTTTTTAGCTTATAGGAGCCAGGATGGGATGGATGGGTTTTTCTCCTTTTTTTTTAATTTTTTAATTTCTATTTTCTACGTGGCTGATGGTTCCACTAGGTGAGCGGTCATTTATGACTGATTCGATTGGCGATTCCTCCTTCCTCCTAAATTCATCCTCAGACGTTCGATGAGACTCTTGAATGTCAATGGAAAAAATAAAAAGACAATCTTAATTAGATTAATATTAATATATACAATTAAAAGGTTTATGAGGTGCGTGAATCACACGGAAATTACACCAAAATTATAGTACTAATCCAATTATTTAACAAACCACGACGGCCTCGTGGACGGACTTAGTGGTCAATTTCCATTGTTTTGCTGACTTACGGAAATGCCGAACAAACACATGCACATGTCCCCTACTTTGCGTGGCATAATCTATCTCCTTTATTTGTTGTGTTTCGCTGCCAGTGTCTTTGCTTTGCAACCCTTTTCACTTGGAATCTTCCTTGGCATTACGGCGAAGGCTCCATGCAAACACTTATCTCCACTCGTTACTGAGGAACTGAACTCAACGTTATGCACGTATCTTTTTAATGAGCTATTACTCGGATAAAGTTTATACGGCCAAAAAAAAAAAAATGAAAATCATGTTAAGATCAAGTATAATTCTAAAAACAAAAACTTTTGACTAGTTTGTTTGTTACTTTGTTTAGATAATGGACCTTGCAAACACGCATGACACGAGCACTCACAAACTACTATACATACAAGACCAAAAAAATTTGTACATTAATTTGGTTTGTAATTTAATGACAAAATTGTGTGCCACTATTGCTCTCATATTTTATACTTGGGAATGAAGGCGCGCGTTGATTATTTGGTTCTGTTTAGTTAATTCACTATTTTACTGAAAAACAAATTGAAAACAGGAAATATATAATAACAAATAAAAATGAAATTTCAATCAGCAAAAATATATTAGTTATTGAGAAAATATACTATAGTTATTGAAAGATAAGCAAGATGAGAATTTCAAACTTATCTCAATTGGTTAATATAATTATTATTAGGAGGTGACATTTAATAAATTTGAATTTAAATTTTAAATTTTCAAATTTTTTTTCTTTATTCTCATATTATGATCTCCTTTATATAATAAAAAAATAATAAGCAAGATGAAAATTTTCAGATAAAATTATAACTTTATACAAGTATAGGGCAAAATGGTAATTGACCGTTAATTTCTATAAGTAATTGTTGCTTTATTTGATGTTATCAATTAAAAAATTTTATATTTGATGTATTATTAGTATACAAATATATACATTATATATATTATTAATTAATTAAATAATATCATCTTATTAATGAATAATTTTTTTAAATTAAGTTTTTATTTATTTATTTTAAAAATTTATAAAAAATTATATTTATTTATTAATAAAATATTATTATTTTATTTATTGATAATATATAAAATTTATACACTCATCAAATATAAACTCTTGAAAATTTTCTCTTGATTTTGGCCTATTTATGTGTACAGATTTTTATTTTGTTTATTTAATTTTTTGAGTTGGTGTTATATGGCGTACACCTGTATGCACTACGATTAAATCTATTAGTAAAGAACAATTCTTTCGTTTTAATTAGTACGAATGCCGGGTCATTACCTTTGTATTTTGCCCGTTCATGAATCAAGACAGCCAAACCATCAGTGATCAGGCTGAAAGAACCATCAGTGATCAGGCTACGACCCTTTCTTTTTGTTTTTTTGAATAGTCAAAACTAGCGTTGCAGTACTGCAGTTCTACGGATATATCGACAAAAGCAGAAAAGCAGACACCTTTTTTTTTTTTTAACTTGTCTGTTAAAAAAGAAAGTAAACTCTTTACAACCCCACAAATACTTCAGACAAAAACAACGTCTAATATATATATATATTATATATATATATATATAGGACTAATGCCCAAAAAACCCATGAGAAGAAGTAACATAGGGAAAATAAAACCAACAAAGCTGGTTTTACTGTTTTAATTAGTAGTTAAAGCCTTCAAGCTGGTCGTCGAAACCAAACGGGCATAAGATTTCTCCATCAAGAAATGGAAACTCAGCTTCACAGCCTGCAGGATCCATCTGCATATCACTTGACATATAACAACTGTCTGAGAAAAATGGTTCTGTCCAGAAATTTCCACTATTTGCCTCGTAGGCTTCAAACAAATTAGCCTTGTTGTTGTTATAATTATTATTATCTGAAACTGAGTCTTTGCTGGATACAACTGTGTTATCTGCGGTGATGGAGGAGTTTTGATCGCTTGAGGCTGGTTGCGGGGACGACATTGAGCTTTCAAGAATTAATGGGGGACTTGTGGGATTAATCAGGGGATCATGATTGTTTAGCTTTGTTTCTTTTTCCTCTGCACTTGTTCCACGCTTGACTACTGGATCTTGACTGTTTTCTTTCCCATCTTTTGTTACTGGTGGCTTATGTTTAAAGCGCTTCTTGAGAGTTGTATGCCAGTGGTTCTTTACCTCATTGTCCGTTCTTCCAGGTAACTCGGCAGCAATGATAGACCACCTGAATATTGTGAAAGAGCTTAATTTAATTTGACCAGCCTCTTCCAAAATCTTTGGGGTGGATTAATATATAGTATGACAAAGGATTATTATTCAAGAATGTTGGGCAAATCACTGTTTTCCTAGTTAAACCAAAACGTTTTTCTCGCTGTATTGAGTCGTAAAACGACTAAATAAAAGATTGATGCCATTAGGGGACTTGTGATTCTTGAGTTCCCCTACTTAAACGACACTGCATTTTCAACGATGGGGAGTTTTCTACTGTACTAGAAATTATGAAAATGCGTTTCACCATTCCGAACTTCCCGCTCAAGAACATGGGATTAGGTGGTAATTGGGGTAACAAAGTTTGGGTATAAAATGTCAGTGCACTCAACAAAGACTTGTTTATGTAACCATAATGTTTTGAAAGAAATCTATTCAATTTGTGATCAAGTACCTGTTTCCCAGCGACTCATGTAATCTGATGATAGTCTCTTCTTCTTCCTCGGTGTAGTTTCCTCTTTTGATGTTTGGCCTTAGATAATTCATCCATCTCAGCCGGCAACTCTTGCCACACCTTGCCAGACCTGAAACAGGAGAACCGATATATCTAATCGATAATATTGAAGAGAAATGCCAAATTGAACAATGACCTTTATAGTTTATATAACCATTTCAATCATCATCCTTTTATGAAACTTTGCTGCTATATATATATATATATATATTTTATCGTTACGGAAAATAATAGGTGTTTTACCTGCATACTTGGGGAGTTGGCGCCAATTCCAGCAGCCATATCTGGTGACATAAGCCTTTAGTTTCCTATCTTCCTCAGGAGTCCAGGTTCCTTTCCTCAGTCCGCTCTTATCACAGCAAGGTGTTCTAACCATGTTTCCTTTCCCCCTTTCACTCACTCTCCTCTATTTTGCTCCCTCTTAGTTTTCAGCCCCCCTGACACCAATCATCACTTCAAAGTTGCAGCTATTTATACTCTACCATGGCCTTTGACCAAAACGTGTTACACGTTTTACTTGTATTATTTAATAATACGACATTGTTTTTTCAGATTTTTTTTCCCGTTTTTATAGATACCTATATGCATTTAATAAATAAAAAAGCCCTTTATTCTTATACGGTGGTCCAAATCGTCGAAAATTCGCAAGATGTCGCTTTCCTCCCCATGTATAGGACTCCATCATATTGAAACACTAAGCAAGACATAATATATATATATATATATATATATATATTCATCTGTGGCTCACCTTCGAGGAAACATGATATGATAAAGCATACCCACCATAAAACGTGATATACGCGCTCGATCAAGTAAAACTTCAATGAAGGTCAGTTGAATTTAATTATCGGCACGTTTTTTTGGCAAATCTAGTAGATGTTAGAATAGGAAGGCAATGACAGATTTAGAAACCAGTAGACCAATTACTGATTTGATTCAATTTTTATATATATAAATAGGTCCTTCTACTTAATGAACTATTAGTTTATTTCAATGGTAGCTTATCTTGTCATTAATGGAATCTATTGGTAAATTATTTGATTTTTAATCTTGATGATTAAATTTTAAAATTTAATAACATTAAATATGAAAGAATTGATAATTTATCTTTATTACTACTCACAATATTTAATTCAATTGATTAAAAAAAATTTTTTGTCCAAGAATTCAATCTATAAGAAAAGTTATTTTAAAAGTATGCAAAGAAAAATTCAGTATATTTTTAAAATTATTCAAACAAATTAAATCTAAAAATATTTCTAACTGCAATTAAATACAGTATTGTTGTTCTGTCCTACAAGGTATGACAATAAGTCCAATCTGCAACATCTGTGGAAGTTTTGTGACCAAAAGAAAAAAAACAGTTTGTCCAAAAGAAAGAATAAAATATTTTTTTTGTGGTCTAGATGCTGCCTCCAAAAAGTAAGACATTATAGGCATAGATACATGACCACAATATTTTATTATCACTAAAAAGAACTTACATCGTTCATATGGACTAGGGATTCAATTAAATCTTAATAACAATAATAATAATAATAATAATAATAAAGAAATAAGTGAATGTCCGGTGTTAGGGAAGTGTACTGATCCCGGTCGGGGAATTTACGTTTACATGTTAAAACTTCGCCTGCTGTCTGTTAACATTTCATGCTCTTTCTTTTATAGGATTTTCTTCTTTGAAGGAGAAATTATTTTTGTTGTGTAGTTATAACATGCAATTAATCAGGACTACATCATGAACCTGCTGAAGGGATCATTAATTAGAGTTATCTTGAGGGTTTGCTTAACTCCATTTGTTTCGTCTCTCTGAGAGGCCTAATTGACTTCAATTATTTGATTACTTTCAATGAAGCCGGCCTCTATTAAAGGAACGAATTTACCTAAAATAATATTGTCTTACAAGTTGCAGAGTGGGTCACTGATTTTTTTACAACACAAGTGACAATCGGAAGAGGTTCCCACATGACGTGTGGACTTGACGATTCCCCATAGATTTTTGAGTTCCGTGTAGCACCAGTCAACGGAAAATCTTGTAAGACTCGACCCGGAAATAAGAAGGAACCAGCCACAAAAGCAGGTAAAAAAAACAAAGGAAAAAGAAAGAAAAGGGCTCCACAGTCCCCACTCCCCAGTGTTCGATTCATGTTTATTGACGCTTGCATTTTTTTTTCAATTTTGGCTTTATTTTAATTTAGCAATAAGTGGCCACAAACTCACAGCAATGCTCCTCGAGTGAAAACGGAAGGTGTACTTATTGGCCGGAGGAGACCCAAATGGATCTCCAGCGAGGTGAGAGGTAATCTGAGACCGATGCCGATTGGTTGTAGGAGTTTTTTGGTTCAGTGATTTGTTCAACCACAGGTTTCCTTTTTTTTTTTTTAATTTAATGTTAAGCCAAAAATATTTTAATTTTGATTTTATTATTATGTAATAAATTAATGCATAAATGTTATTATTATATAATAAATTCATAAATAAATAATAAATTTATTTGAATTTTTAATTATTTATTAACAAAATTATTATTAAGATAATATTTTTAATTTTATAAATGCTAAATCATTAAAAATATTTATTACATATAATTTTTATTATGTTATAATGATTTTGGAGACTGTTTACGAATTAAAAAAAATAGTTACCACTAATATTTTTTGGTTAGTTATGATTAGTTACCTAATAAAACATACATTTTTAATAAAATTTTAAAATTAATTAAAAATATAATTTTTAGGTTTAAAAAAATAATTTAGGTTCGAAAATGATTACACGTGAGGAAGAATTGACATTCTCATAGTATCCGTTTAAAAAAAGATAATTCTTAATCATATGTTATTTTTTAATTTTGACAAAAATATATTAATTTTGATATTTAATATTAATTTCTTTGATTCCCTTTATTTATCACAATTTTGATTTTTTTAATTTTCTTTACAAATTTTTTAATTTTCTTTAAATAAGAAATATTATTTCATTTTCATTTGAAAAATAAATTGAAACTTTATTATTGAAAAATTTTCAAAATGTTCTAGTACATTGATAACATTAAAAGAAATTTCTCACCTAAGTATTTTTTAAAATTTATTATCCAGATTTCTTTAAAGTTTCACATTAGGGACTATATTTTTTTAAAAAAATTTAATTAATTAATACAAATAATATTCATACATTACTATAATGAAGTTTATTCTTAAGCAAAACTTTTTTCTTTTATTTTTTTCCTTATTTTTAATAATTAAAAAATTAAAACCTTTATGTATTGAATATTTTCTTAAATACTTCAATATTTTGGTAACATTTAAAAAAAAGTATTCTCACTTAAATATTTTTAACAAATCATTGTTTGGATTTTCTTAATATCTTATTATTAGAGGAGGTCTCTATTATTATTTATTAGATTATTTTACTTTTTTGAAAGAATATATATTTATTTTAAAATTTTAAAATTTAAACATGCAAAGGTAAACAAATAAATAACTCATCAAAAATATAAAAAAAAGGCCAAAAAATGGTCAGTCAACGATTCAAAGTGGTTCATTGCCGATTTGTTCCAATTCTTTGTGCTTTGGTCAATTTTATGACAGTTTAATCCTTTTTTTTTATTCAAAGAGGTTCGACCTGAACCGATCTTGGGCTAGTCCACAAGAAAGTCGGGTGTGTGAACCTTAGGTCAGATATGGGTCATGTGCAAATCCTAGCCTTTATTTTTTTGGCACTATAAAAGCTACCATTTTTTATTTCATTTTCACCTTTTCTTTAAAAAAAAAAAATTTCTCTTTCAAAATCACCAATAGGTTGGGCAATTCAAACCCAAAAACCAATGGCTTTATCGCCTTCGCGATTCATCGCCACTTATCAATGTCGATTGGTTCTCAACTAAACACCAAAACCTTCCTATCCTTTTCTTGATCTTTGTTTTGACTTTAGTTTTCCCAAAATCAACCTTATAAGCCCTAGATCTAAGCCAACCTTTTAAGCCCTAAATCTAAGCCAAAAAGCCAACAGCTTCAAGACCTAATATCTCCTTATCCATTGCTCAAAATACCATCGCCTCTCACTATGTTCATTTATGAGTCTCCTCACCAAAAATCAAGGCCTAAAACTTTTTGGAACCCCTAAAATTGAAAATCCTAGTTTGATGTTGAATTTTGCTCTTTGTGATTTTTTTTTATGTTTTATTGGCTATTCTTGATTGTGTATTGTGGCTTTGGTTGTTTTATATTTTTGGCTAATGGTAAGGTCTTGGGTAGGTTTTTTTGGGGTAATTGATAGTGGTAATTTTGGGACTATGTTAGGAGGAGTTCATAGTGGTGTTGGGAGGGTGTGATTGGCAATCGAGGGTTTTGGGTACCGATGGAGTTGGAGGGTCATGATGTTCGTTACTAGTGGTTTCAGGAGTGATCTATAGGAGATAATGGCTTTCTTTTTTGTTTTACCTCTTAGCAGTGTTTATTGGTGGGCTTGTATGATTGAGATTGGTTAACTTATGGTGGTTTTTGGTGAAGGCAGTATAGGCAGTGGAAGTTTTGGCAGAACTTTCTTGTTGGGATCCTTTCCATAAATTGGCTTCTTTTTTATCTGTAAGATTAGTCCATTTGAACAATAATTGTGGAATCAAATGCCAAATTTCCTAGGATTGAGATGTCTATTCGAATGAGGGATTATAGTTGATTTTTAGCTGCCATGGTGGCTAGCCTTGGGTTGGGGAAGGTAAGGTGGCTGTGGTCTGGAATTTAAAACCATTTTATGTCAAATTCCTAGTTATTTAAAGCCTTAGTGTTCCTAATTTTAGTCCAGGCAAGCTTTCTTAAGGGGTTGGGAATGGCTACATATCTAAAAGGGAGTAAGGCACGACTTTTGGGAGGAAAAAATTGTAGGACAGAGGTTGGTAGCAAGAAATTAGTTGCCTAGCCGCCTTCTTTAGTTGGTTGCCATGCATGATAATTGTAGACATCCATCTGTGTTCGGGGCAGATCAAGGTCGATTTTCTTTGTTATTATCATTTTTATAGTGTAATATGTTATAATGTGTTATAGTATAATATTATAGTATAATATTATTGTTGGTATTATGATAGTATAATATATACAGTATAGTACATATTATAGTATTGTTGTTATTATTATATACTATAGTATATTATATTAGTGTTACTACTGCTACTACTACTACTACTATTATTATTATTATTATTATGCTTTCCTTTCTTGTTCAATATGTGAGGATGATTTTGGAAACTGAAATTGAATCAATTGATCATGGTCAAAAAGGTTTATGATACAAATCATAAAGCCTTTTAACTCAGATTCTGGATGTTAGCAAGAATTCAGCCCTAAGATCACATTTGGACAAAACCATATCCTAGGATTTAAGCTTGGGATGATTCTGTTTGTTTCCTAAAAATGCTCCTTAGAGCTGTCTATAAATTGAACCAAAGAACAAAGGAACAGACA